GGAAATAGATACACCACGCTTATAGGTGAAGTTTTTATAATTTTTAAGTATGAAATAATAACAGAAATGTTATACTTAATGAATATGGCATTAACAGAAAATCTACAAATTTGACCCTAGTGTCGATTTTTTTGCCAACATCTCCATTTGTGGATTGCCATAAGTAACCAATTTTGTCAGCACGCCTCACGTATGTCCAAAATTTAAATACTACCTCGAGTTTTTTTTTTAAAAGCCAACATGGTGTTTATTATAACTGATAATTTTCCTAAAGTATTTCAGGCTTTTGCAAAACTGGTTCCGAAAGCAAAGTTTTTACCCACTTCTCTCCGATCAAAAGGTGGCCAATTCCACGATATTTCGACAATGTCGCGCTCTCAGCGCTTGCCGTGGACATTTATTTCCGTTGATACCCACCTGTCCAGGATTAGGAGTCTTACTTACCTTGAGACACAAAGATTCCTCAAGCTAACAGGCTGTTAGTTCGTCTTTAGGGCGGGAGGGGGGGTTGGATGACATCATTTTGCTTTTATTTGCACATCTCATTGCGTACGAATGTATATTTGGGTGTGGTTATTGATTCAGTAAGTGTTGGTTATTTCTGTTGCTCTCATAACTGTGGCTTAAGTTGTCAATGGCGAACTGTTTTGTTTCTGTACAGACCTAAATCATTTAAGGGGGGGGGGGGCATAAGAATACCAGCATGTTATTATGCATGCACACGAATCTGAAGCTGAAGAACACATCTTAACAAATTACATTAATTACTGGTCTGTCGAATCGTTTCAGTTTAGTTTACAGCTCTGTTCTTACAGCTCTATAATTAATGTTACAATATTATACTGGGACTCACAGTCTTGGTTAGAGGGTGCCTCTGGCAGATCCTATTACTTAACTTGCCCTTTGTTGTTTCTTTCTGTCTGTCTGTCGTACATTATCCCTGCACAAAATGGCCTTTATTGCTTCTATGTGCTTCTCTTATTCAAACAAGCAAACAAACTGTTTCGGGCCTGTTAGGATCTCATTGTTACCCACCACGCAGATCAGCGCTTTGAGTTTAGAAAGTGTAACGACTTACTCGACACAACAAGTTATGAGGTGCGTGCGTACGACAGTTTAAGTACAATGTGACTCGCGTATCCGTTCGTGGGGGAGTCCTTGTCTGAAATGCCCTCCTGGAGAGTAACTCGATTTGTATTGTTGCTACGGTACATAATAATACGTGTAAGTACTATCTGCTTACCGTAACTCTACAGTGAGGTTTCATGTTTCTGGCACAAAAACGAAAATTACAAATGATCGCAAGCTTTAATTAGGATATCTACGTTAGCATCAGGGATATCATTGTCTTTCAGGATGAACGTCAAAAATTTGTCGGCCAGATGATACAATGTAACAAGCCAAATATTTTGAAAATATGTTTTATTGTGTTAGTTAATTTGTGGTATCGGTTGCATGTGCTCAAGAAATATATTGTCGAATTTCAGATTCTGAATGTTGAAAAAAACAAGAAAATTAAGCAAAACGCCACGCCCGAAGGACGTCAAATTACATGTGCTCCAAGATCACAAGCTACGCTCTGCTAGGCAGCACAGACCTTTATGACCACCTGCATGGGCACGCAGTCCAGTGACAAAAGTATGTGTCTAGGAGATATTAATTATGCTGTTGTCTCTTAGATGTGCCGAAAATATGTTCACATTTGGGTCTGCTGATGTAGTCAAAGTGGTAATAATTTATTGAATTGTTAAGATTTTGAGTGGGACCCCTGTGGTGAGTGGGAGAGGGTGAATTTCTGATGCGCTTTTACATCACGGCCCATGAAAGGGAAAGATGCTTCTCATCGTTACATTATCACACGGTTCATTCTCATCAACCATAATTTCTTTATAGTCTTGGGTTTATAAGCAGAAAGAACAGCCTGAGATTAACAGTGAAGTAGTTAATTTAGGTTTGCCAGGTGTCAAACCTAATTGACCAACAAAAAACAACAACAATTAATCATTAAGGTCAACTTCACACACTGACAGAGCAGCAGAGTCCAAAATATTCTTGAATAAACAATTTCTATTGCTTCCCAAAAGTTTACAGTCATTATTGCAGAGTTCTTCAAAGTTGTATTTGGAATCAACGTTTTAAAGTTTTGACAGACGTAAACAGACTTTATGTAACAAAATGTGTAGAAAATAGAAGACCTACTGTGGTGCTCGATCTATTCAAGAATGAGTTCAACTGTACTAAACAGGCAACGTAACAGAGGGTGCATGGGTAGTTCACAAAGAAAGCAAAGAGGCAGCGAGGCAAGAGAAATAAAATGATGAAAAATAGCCCTGGAGACCTAAACAAAGGGAAAAAATCAGACAGAGTGGGTGTATCTGCCTGGGTTTTTAATGAGTCTTTTTGTGTCCCATGCTCAAGACCTCCGCTAAGTACTATGGAACAAAGCTTGCCGTGCCTAACTTTACTATCTACAATATGGCAGCCTGGAACGTGAAATGTTATGTCTGGCATGAGGGTGAAGGCGGACTAACTTCCGACGAATTTTCATCTTGCAGTGTAGACTACACATACGATCCCTTGCCAAAACATATGGCAGAATAATGCTGTACAGTGGTGAATACTTTTACCAAAATAAAAACGCCACACTCGCTAATGTTCTCTCAGCTCTAGCTCGTGAGTTCAACATCACAATTGAAAAGAAATATCTCACAAAGGCGCACACTTAAATGGAGTTCGATAGTGCTCATAGCGTCATTGAGCGATCCCTCAAAAACACTCTTATACTCGTACCTTTTGACTATGTCAATGTCTTCAGACTGGCGTGTCAAATCCCTCATTAATCCGAAGTCAAACACTTAGTCCATACTTTCTTCAGAAACTATTGATCATAAAAAGAATGCTCGACCATTCGACCAGAAAGAAAAGCCGGGAACGCAAAAGTAGTCGACGTACGAACGCTGCGCTATTCCTCACAAGGAGACATTCAGTACACGCTCTTTTCTCGTTTTATGTGACGACTGGCAAGACATGCCCAAACCCTGCAACTACATGCCATCAAGCACGGTGCCTTTGCACTACGCTTACAAAGAAAACTTATATTTTGAATGCAATTCTTTGAATATCTTGATAGCAGCTCTGAATAATCTTTCGATTTTGACAGAGCAGATAGAACATTCAATTTCAGACTTCATGGTCTTATAGTAATTCAAAACTGTCCAAGTAAAAGTCAGATAGAAGTTTACAATTTTAAGGCCGTGACTAGTTACTCAAAAGGCCTTCTGATTTAGGAACTCTGGAAAACGTATGTGTATGGTGTGATTGGGTTTAGTGGCTATGAAAAACAATAATTCACCTCACATATTTTTTTTCTTTTCGCAAACAAGAACAATATTTATCTCATATCCGAGGCAACCAGTCTACAAACAACTCAGAACTTTCTTATATTTCAATAGCATTTGAAATCATTTCAGTATTACAATCACTCAGCCAATAAAGCAAACACTCCATCACACAGTTTCCAAGGCTATTATTTCTATCCCCTTATGTTTAGGAGGTAGGAGCCAACAATCCATGTTTTGTCAACAAAAGCAGAAAATACATGTATCTCAGCCTTCTTTATATGGGGAGTTGGTGACCTATAGGCCTACTTTGCATCGAGTTGATACAACAAAGGCCGATCGATTCAAGTCAGAAACAGATTAAGGGAAAAGTAGCAATTTAAACGTCGTATCAGGGCTAAGTCAACCCTCCACTTATCAAGTAGGCCTACGGTAAAAGAAAAGATACAGAAACTGCAGAGCAATAAAAAATGAACGCATGCTTATCTCAAAGTGTTGACTCAGTGTTGGGTTTATACGTCATTAACAGAGATTATTCATAGGATAAAAGAGAAAACAAAACATTACCATATCGCGAAATCCACTTAAACCGACTTCTGTCGGACCGTCGAATATTCTTCGGTTTTCTGTTTAGAGCTCTTGCACGAACAGAAGAAAATAAAATCGGGTACCTTTTTTTCTTTCAGTTGACCGTTGATTTCGGATTAACTGAGTTCGGATTAAGGGGACTCTACTTAATATATTGTTATCTCCTGCTCCGGCAAATAAAACTTAAATTCTAATTGTATTGGTCACTTCGATTTGCTTTGAAAACCTTAACAAAGGGACACAACTAAGATGTAATTTGTGAGGATAAATGTAGTAACTAAATTGTTTCCCCTGCTTGAAAATGGTACATGATTGTCATGAAAGCAAAATGTAATAATAATTAGGCCTACACGAAAACTTGCATTGTTCTCTGATAAATTATTGGTACCGGTAAGTTGTGTGTCTAAGGTGTACTGCATGAGACATGAGACAATAGACACGAGAGGAAGAGCGATAACATTTTCAAGTTTCTTTTGGACGCCACTAGGCCTATATAGGAAGAACAGAGAAAAGATGTAATTCCCTACACCAGAGAGAGCTAGTGACGTACGTATATAAAATGACCAATGGATTCTATCCACCAGTGGGGGAATGGACAAGAAAAAAAATTAGGCTAGGCTAAATTGTGCGAAATCAAAGAAACGTAAAATTGTCTTTGAGGGTGTATTGAGGAGTATCAATATTGATAGAATGGAGACGTTGCATATCCAATGAATGGAGAATTTTGTATATGCAGTAAACACAATTACAATATTTTGTCGCGATAGTGCAATATTAAGTAATATAGATGCCATATAGACCTTTAAATCTTCTTAATTAATCAAAAGGATTGAATCATTGGCCTGAGATTATTTTTTTAAAACAACCTGTTTTGAGATGTCCAATAATACCCTATAATAATATCAGAAAAAGAAGCCTTCCCTCTGTCCTGAGGATTCCCCACTGTGTTGTACCTGTTCATTCGTTTTAATTAGTAATTACGAATTGAAAGCATAATAATATTATTATATTGCATTGAAAACGTAACGTAGATCTAAATTGCGAAATAAGAATTTGCTGAACATTGAGATTGGAGTCGCTTCCCCTTATTCAACAAAATGGATGTTGTTTTGTAGCTCATGCACGGCCGTGTACTTCAACCGGTTTCTTTTTCTATTATTTTTGTGCAAGGACTCTCCAAGTGTTGCTGTTCTTGTGACCTGTGGTACGCTATGGTTTGTCCCCTTAGCTTTACTCTGTTACTTCTTGGAAAAATGTTTTCCCTGCTACAATGGCACTAGGGATAATCCGGTTTTGGCCCCAACGATTACACTTACTACTATATCAGTATATCTACATCTAGATCTAATCTAGATCTATATCTAGTATCTAGATCTAGTATCTAGAATATAATATAAAATATAGATATATATCTAGATCTAGATCTAGACTAGATTCTAGATTCTACTAAGTTACTTACAGTCCGATTTAAGGCGATTAGCCATTAGCCAACCAAATTAACTAGCCTAAATTTACTCACTTTCTGCAGTCCCTACTATCCCATGCGACTACACCCAGGGGGTAAACTGGGCTACGATTGGCTGAATCTGTGGGTACTCTGGGAATTCCCGGTTTCAGTCTCGCGCGTTTGACCGTCTTTTCACAGTGGGTTGTGTTGCTCATGAAAGAAGGAGAAGGAGAATTGAGGAGGAGAAGGAGGGAGATCCGAGGTGTAGATGGGGAGGAGAAGAAATGAAGAAGAAGAAGAATGAGGAGGAGGAGCAGATGGAGAAGAAGAAAAAGGAGGAGGAGGAGGAAGAGATTGAAGAAGAAGAAGAGTCTAAGAAGAACAAGAAAAAAGGAGGAGGAGGGAGGGAGGAGAAGAAGATGAAGCAGGGGGACGAGGAGGAGGAGGAGAAGAAGATGAAGCAGGGGGACGAGGAGGAGGAAGAGGAGGAGGAGAACAAGAAGAAGATGGAGAAATAGAAGAACGAAAAGAAGAAGATGAATACATCATCATGTAAAATCTAGATCTAGTACGAGAACTTTTTCATTTGCCCCTACCTTGGGAAAGAGAGAGTGAGAGGGTGGTGAGAGCGGTCAACAGTTGACAAACCAAAAGGGGTCAAATCCGACTAATACACAAAGAAAAATAGGCCTGCCACTCTATGAAATCTAAAAGTCAGGATCTCAGTGGGGGGGAAAAAAATTGGGACTAGGTGAAAAAAATCGGGATTAATGCCAAATCACTTAGAGGTCACTGCCAAGCTGACTTAAAAAATTTCCTGGGGTGTCCATTAAATTATATCCATGTATATCTCTCTGCGTGCGCACGTGTGTGTTTGTGTGTGTGTGTGTGTGCCCGCGCGTGGGCGTATGTGTCTTATTATTTCTATAAAAATAAGTACTGAAGTAACATGTCAAGCTCTCCTAGTCCAAGTATTTTACACGCTCCCCCCCTGGATAAGTCCCGAAAGATGCTTTTAAACCGGTGCGCATGAACTTAAATTGACCCCGTCAACGGACGATCCCCGACACATGCAGAACTCACATGCCGAAGTCCTGTCACGTGGTGGGAACGCATGATTGAAACAGTTTTCTGAAAGGTCTTGATGACAGGCCCGACTAACCAGAACTCGGACAAAGCATGTTTTGGCGAAAGTAGATCTTGAGAAAAGAATGTCTAAGTCAGAATACCAAATCAATACTATAGTTGAAATTATAACACGTGTGAGCAAAGATCCAACACAACTTTTGGTGCTCAAGTCAAAACTAAATTCCACATAGACATTCGGAAAATAGTGCTCCGAGTTTCTGCTGACAAAAAGTTTAACGAGTGCTTTCGCAACAGAAAAGAAGGCAGAGTAGAAAAATCCGGCGCAACAAATAAAAAATATTGGAATACACGTGGACTCAGGTAAATCAGGATGCTTGAAATTTAGGGCAGGGATGAGAGGCAGGTTTGGAAAATAAGCCGATTCATTATTCTATAGAGCTATCCCAGGGTTCACATTCCAGTCTTTCCACACTTTTGATGGCAAACAATTCATGTTTACTAGTGTGTTAAAGAAGGATGGGGGAAATCTCATGGCAGGGGTAAACTCAAGGCACGACACCGGCAAATATTTTTAATATAATGAGAGACCAGAAAGTGGGCGGAGCTTCTGTGCTGAAGCTGGCCAGTATTGCCGGAAACTGCGAGCAGCAGCTGATAAGTAGAGTAGGTCGACTTTTTCTGACACAGAAGGTGACTGTCGTGCATGTGTGTGGGTGTATTGCATAAAATTAATCATTGACTTGGGTTTGGGATAGAGAAGGGGGAAAATGACGCTTGCCAGACGCACACCAGCTACGTTTTAAAGCGTATTATAACATGCAAACCCCCGAAATGAAATTATAAAGGGTAAAGCTCACGCACCACCAAAACTTAAAGGGGGTAATCTGCAGGTTTAATGCGTAATATACACAAATTGGTGCGTAATAAGGAGCCCTGTGTGATGCAATCACTTCCTGGGATACCCACAGACTATTTTAAGAAGGCCGTAGAGGTACTGCATGGAATGACGTGTTTTCGGTGTATGTTAATGACATTCGGAATTCCCAGTACTTGGACATGATGGAAGATCGCTTAGGTCGTTGATGCTCAGAACAGTAAGAACGCTGATGCTTGAAATTGAAACACGGTAAATGCAAAGACGCCGGAGGATCCCCCCCCCCCCTCCATTGCATGCTTCATCACTAGATTCTACCACCATATAAAAAACTACAAAGCAACAAATTATAATTTATGGGACAAACTGGAGGTCAGTCGGGAGGAGGAGAAGAGAGAAAAAAACACAACAACTTCCGGGACCGGGATTCGATCCCCATGCTCAAAAAGGAATTGTATGACTTCAAACGCAGACATGCTGTCCATTCGGCCATCTGTGCTTCCTACAGCGAAAGGTAGATTAAGAGACACTTTCATCTTTGGTGCCATGCGGTTCAGTATATTTAGATGTAGTCACGTGATCGGAGGGGTATCCCGGTCTGACGTCGAACAAGATGGCTGCCATACCTAAAAATAGTTTGCGCCATTCTACGTTTAATCGCATGTCCATGGAGATACCAAAGATCGTGAGAATCTTTGGAGACGCTGCATGGAATGACATGTTGGGTCAGTGGCCTGACCTTTTGTCCGTATCGATGTGTTTCGTTAGGTAAAATTTCACTCTTGCGGGTACTTCAAACCGTCAGCCATGCTCTACACTGATTGGTTGCTACTTTTAAAGAATGTGGATCTCATTTGGGGATACTAGTTTTGACCCCACAGACGATTACTTCTGGTTCTGAACAATTACTTTTTGATGCGTGTGCCGATATGGAGAGATAGTCTATCAAACCTAATTATTGCCAGACATCAAATTATGGTTGCCCCCTTGAAACCCCCCCCCCCCCCCCCCTACCATGTTTTTGTTAGGTCAGGGGGGCACTTGCCTTGTTAAACACAAGAAGTGAAATTTTACTGCTCATTTTGTAATGTAGATCATATCTACAGATAAAAGATCGGTGCTCTAAATATTTAAGTCAGGTCTCGATATCCAGTACTCTGTGTGGATGATGCCAAATCTAAATTGACGGGAACCACATTCTTAAGTTGTACCGTTTCTCAGGACGGTTTCTGGTATGTTAATTTAATAACATTTCGTAATTCCGCTAGTGAATCGTGATGCTTGAAATTGAAACACGGTAAACGCAAAGAAAATAAAGTGCGCAAAAATTGCAGTAAAGATGCCGGAAGATTACCCCCCACCTGCCGCGGGCACGATAAAAATGCGCAGAAGAGATAAAAGCAGCAGCATCATCAGAGCACCGCATCATGTCATATTTCATTACCAGTATTCCTGGAAAAATATCGCACCAAAGCATCTTGCCATCAAAGTTTCTCTACACAATCTTTGGTGCCATACGATTGGCTACATTTAGATGTAGCTACGTGATCGAAGGGGTATCCCGGTCTGACGTCACACAATATGGCCACCTTTAAAATTGGTTTGCGTCGTTCTACATTTAGTCGCATGTCTGCAATCCAACCCCAACCCTTACCCCTATCCCTAAACCATATATAAAGTTACTGTTGATGTTTCATTAATTTTGAGACCGAAACTAGAGATTGCTTGATTTCTTTTTTATGCTAGTGGTTATTCTCCGGAGTGGCGCTCACCGCTCTGGTCCTTTGATACGGTAGAGAGAAAGTAATAGACCTATGACCTTGCACAAACCCTCATCAAGGTCAACATTTCTTCAGAATGTGATTCACCATAGGTCCATAGGTGAACACGCAACCACTAGTCAATGAAAGCTCCAGTGACGGAAGAAGGAGGAATTTTTGTGTTAGGGGAAGTGCTGTGTTTTCTTTCCTCTTCCTTACCATCATCATTTTTCCTCTACTTTTTTTATTTGTCACTCTCTTGTGAGCTGCTATTTTTGGGGTGCATTGATAGTCGAAGCAGACTTTGTTCGGTTGAAGCTAGTAAGCCGACTAAGCCTGATTCCCCGTTTAGACTTTTCTGTTGACATCTACCCCTTGGTTCTCACATGGCCTTGCAGTTGTGAGTGCTGTAAAACCTTACTAAAACTAGAGGCGACAACACCAGAAGCGCCAACAACCCTCAGTGGCAACCAGAAATGCAAGAAGGCGCATCTGGCACTGAACTCAGTTGCAACAATAATGGCCATGATGTGCCAACAGGGGAGATGGAAAGCTGTGGAGAAGTGACATATGCAACTATATGTGACACTGGAGAATAGCCATCGACTTGTTGACCGACGCGACGTCGGAGAGTAGCCACTTGCTTTTTTTTAATCATCTGTTGTATTTTCGACAATGACCAGTCATCATTCAATTCATTTTCATTTTATAATGTCTTCTAAGTTCAAACATTTTATAAAAGGAAGGCAGTCTTTCAGTTAAAATTTCTGGATTTAGGCCATAAGGTAGTGCAAGACCCTTGTTAGACAGGAAAGGCCCAGCTGTATCATGATCATGCTTTGAATTTTGTGTCGTGCCAAACTGTGCTATTTGTTACAAATTACAAACCAATGAGATGGTATACTATACTGAGTTGGTACCATCGTAGGACCTCACGATTTGACGGTTTCTGCTGTGTAAACATGTTTCATAACATGACAAACCCAGGTTGAGACAGCTTTTATATTTGGAAATTATCACTGTTATTCCCACACATGGTTAAAAAAACTGACTAAGTGTGAAGATGGGGTTGGCCCTTAAAGTTACTGGCAGGATTGAGGCAGTGGGCCTGCTTTTTTATGATCTTGATAATTTATTAATTGTATCAAGATCAATGGGTCATCAAGTATTTGCAACCAATATACAGTTATGTTCTAGATGTTGTTGTTGTTAGCAATCCAGTAGCATCTGAGCGTTAACTCTTCTGCATGATGCCATTCGGTAATACCTGCATGTCTGTTCTAATTGTTGTCTTGAGGAGTAGAGGCAATTAGATGTGTGGGGTAGCTTGGAAAGAAAACATCCCCTTAAATCAGTTAGTTTTCTACAGAAGAAAAGATCATGTTCCACTGTCTCTGAGGGGTAGTCACATAGTGGGCAGGCAGCAGACTGCTTTACTCCAATTCGGTTGAGATGTTGGTTGAGGGGTACATGTTGTGTTCTAAGTTGGAAGATTATGGATTGATCTCCCCTCCTCATTTCATTGATTGGATCTTTGACCTGAGGTTTATTTATACATCCTCCTTCCTGTCGTACCTGTGGCCCAATCATTCATCCACTCTTCCTTGAGGTTTGATTTGTTCATTTGGCAACAGGTGGTGTAATTCGTAGGAATTTCAGGCTGAGGGAGGCTAGCTCCTTTCTTTGCCACAGCATCAGCTCTTTCATTTCCCGGTATCCCAGTGTGGAATCCATTGTAGGACTACTCTGATGTGGTGCCTACTTATCAAATTATGTTGACTCCAAATCAAGTGCAATATATCTTTGTTCACATCAGTCCCACTCTCAAGTGTCTTTAGTGTTGAAAGGCTGTCTGTAAAGATAACGATGTCTGTGGTAGCAAGTGGGTTAGTGTCAAACAAGTAGTTGATGTAGTTTCCTGTGTTGGTGATAGCCTGTTGTTCGGCAATGAAATTGGAGCAGAAGAACCCGCTGGAAGTAAAGACTTTTTAAAAATTCCATTGGGCAAGTTGATCACTGACCCATATCCAGCGTTGATTGTTGCCTTAAAGGCATATCCATCATGTTCTAGATGAAATTCTCTACACACATGTCTTTCCAAACCCAATCCCTCTGAAACAGAAAATTGAGTAATCATCTCTATTTAAACCCAGTCCCACAAAAATCAATTGTAATCTGGTTACCTGACAATACTTAATGTATAGTTTCACGATGGATGTACAAGTGATTAAAATCAATCTCTATACTTTGATTTATTATTTTACCTTTGATAGAGAATAACTTCTGCTAGAGTGTGTTTCTGTCTTTACGAGTAGTCAAGTAGTGGTTTGTTATACACTAATATCACTCATTTTTACTTTTTCATCCCTCTCTCATTACAGGGTCTCAGCTTCCATGGCGGGCAACATTTTAAACCGTTTATTTCGCCTCAGTTTCCCGGACTGCACTCGAGAGGCTCTAACTTTTCTGACCTCGTTCATCTCTCAAGACTGCCCAACCCTCACTGGCGTAAATGCCAACACAGAGCAGATCATTGTGGAAATATGTCAAGAGTTTGTGCTCTTCAAGTCTCTTAGAGGCCCACAGAAGGTTTGTAAGAGCATTGAATTGATTTTGACCCCTTTGTTGCCTTATAACGTGTACGCATGGTTTTATGGCACAATGCCATACCATAGATGTCACAGAAATTGGCCAAATTTGCCATTCCTGTTTGCCTATATGTTGTTTCATGTAAGTCACACTGATCACCTGGCGTTAGTTCTTCTGTACGGAGATTTATCCTCAATCAATGTGTTTTTAATGTGCATATTAATACTGAATTTGCTAGTAATTAACTTAACTGCTAGCTTGCAAATGATTGATTAACATATTCTTAATTGATTTTGTGGGCGACTGCATGCTCTCGCAAAACGCAAACACCAAACAACTTTTAAAAAGGAAAAAAAAAATCCTCTTTTTTACTTAAATTTGCACATTATTTCGAAATTATGGGGAAAATAGGGAATGAGGAAAGTGAAATTATCAAACACCTAGGATCTAATACAAGAAAGCTACATCTAGACCCGGAGTCTGCTAACACTGAAACATGAGAATACTGTTCTTGCTAATGAGCTTCTTGGTTTTAAAAAAAATAAGTGTTGACAGTAGAAACGCACACACCTTACTAGCAACAAGCTTTTTGTGTGTATTTTCACTGAAACTATTACAACATCAGTATAAAACAATTTTTATTAAAGAAAGCTGTCTTTTTAGATAGTTAGAAAGTAAGAAAGACCTACTCTCATATTCATGAAATGAAAATACACAAGTTTTTCCCTCTTTGTTCAATCATTTTGTTCATAGTTTCAGAATGATTTTTGAAAGAAACTCTTGTGAATCAAAACTTTGGTCTTCTTTCTGCTTCTGCATTCTTTCGAAATGAGTCAACCTTTCAGCATCTTTCCTTATTGTATTCTTGATGATCTTTTTTTTTTTTTCCAATTTTATCATCAGAAACTGACCTCTGTCCAAGAGCTTCACCTTCTGGACATGCTATGTTCCTGCTTCTCAGAGGCGCCAGAAAAGAGCAAGTACCGTATCTTTAACCTGATGTTTGGGGCGCGGGGAGAGTCAGGAGTTAATCTACTGCTGACAAAGCTAGTGTCTCTGGCCTTGTCAGTGCGCTGTGCCCCTGTTTTGTTCTGCGCAGCTATCTGGATGCAAGTAAGAATTGTTTGCTAAATGTATGTATTTATGTATTGGGGGGAAAGTCAAGTGAGAAAGAGGGAAGAAGTAAGAGAAATTGGCATATTTTCTTTGTAGTTTAATGTATCTTTCTTTTATGAGTGGGCTTTGAAGAGTGATGTAAAACGATTAAATTCAAGAACAGGATATATATAATAACACTGCCTAAAACGTCATCTGAAGACAACTACTTTTCTCCTTGGCAATGGGTTGCCATCTAGAACAAATTTCGAATGCATTTTGTTGGCTTTTGACCCTATTTTTATCTCATGTTCTTCCCTCATGAGCTTGTAGAACTGTTTCTAGAAAGTTATGATACAATTAAAAAGTTGCAATGTTTGATTCTTAACTTCTGTAACATTTTGAAAGGGGGATTTTGTTGATGATTACAAATCTACTTTGCAGGAACTGAACCAAAAGTTAATGTGGCATTTGTAAAGAATTCTCTTTATTTTTTTTAAAAACAGGAACGAGACAGTCTGAGTCCTGATGTGAAAGGGTTAACCCAGAGGCTTGTTAGTGACTACTGCCAGTTGTACCCAGATCCGTCCAGTGTATTTTCTTCTCTCCCCTCAATCTGTGCCCTGTTTGCCTGTAACTTCATCACGTCAGCAACCTCGCTCTACTCGTTTGCTGGTATGTGCTTCTTTGAAGACAGTCCCTGAAATAGTTAAAAAGAAAATCAGACTTCAGAAAATTGTGCATATTTCCTAAATATATTTTTCATAAGAGCTGGCATTGTTTTTGAAGAGATATAGTCGTAAAGAAAAGTGAGGTGAACACCATGACAGCTTTTGGTACACAAGTAATGTACCTTGATAGTGTTAATGATTCATTTACTTCATAGAATTTATTTGAGGAAATTGTGATTCTGCCTTAATTTGTAACTAAAATTCAACTGATTTCAGTACAACTAGTAATGGCGTATCAATGTGATGTGTCCTTGAGTAGGGCTCATTATATTCAGATCGAAATATTGTTTGGTTGTGCCACACTAGGAATGTTGTCAGTCTGTTTGTGTTGATTACAATTTTGTTTATATTCTTTGATATTTTATGCGGTGAATAATGTACTACACCTCCATAGGTCTATTTTCCTTTGAAATAGATATAAACTCCTGTTTCCTTTTTTTCTGTTCATCTGTTTTTCTGCCCTGTGATTGTTTCTCTCTCACCATTGCAGGGGCTGACAGCTTGCCTCCTCTTTCCCTTCTCCAATATGTGAGTGACTGGGTCCACAAAGACAACACACTGTGCTGTGAATCGTTACGCCAGGCAGCCATACACAGTGCGTACACCACTCCCGTGCCTGGGCTGACTGGCTGGTGCGTCAGGGGTCCTCTTGTGTGCTGTCAGCTCAAGACAGCCACTGCCTCCTCCACAGACTCTTTATCAGCCTCATCGTCCTCTTCATCTTCTTCCTCTTCGTCATTATCATCATCGACAATAAGTGCGCCCCATTTGGAAGCATTGCTCCAGTGTCTGGACAAACTGCACCTTGCCCTCCTCCAGTCTATCGCCTTCACAGCTTGCGTCCAGCTCTCCCCCGGACTCATCAGCACCAGCGACCTGGCACACATCGCACACACGCTCCAGGTGGTGTGTTCCCCGCAGCCCAGCGCATTGGAAGAGCAGGCATGTAGCTTAGCTCTAGAGAGGCTGGCACAGATCCTGCAGGTGGCCTCCAGCACCAGCACTTACATTTCAGACATGAGTAAGTTTGCTTTGTTTGCCTATCTTGGCTTGATAATGCAGTTTCCAAAGCTTACCTAGAAACGCTTGCTTTTGTACAGTTTACAGCGAATCAGCAAAATAATAGCCACATTTTGCCACATCTGTGTGTAACGATTAGGTTTTTCCGCATTGCTTGCAAAGGAATTTAGATTTATTTCTGGTTGGCTCAAACCTGCATGATGCTTGACGATATGTCATATCTGTTGGACATTCTGGATGGCTTGGGGGTGGGGGTTCAGACTGGAAGATTTTAGGGGTCTATTTTATATGACCGCTGATTCATATTACCGTTGTTTGAGTCTATCGGTGATTAGGATTATCATGTTAATTCATTCGCTACGTCGAGTCGTGGGGGGGGGGGCGGCGCGGCTAAAGTGCCGTCATTACGCTAAGCCGCTCCTGGCGGCTTGAGAACCGATCTTCCATTTCAGCGTAGATTCTATTCGAATCCACATATCCATGTAAAAATAAAGGTCATGATATAATGTTGACTTCCGGGTCAAGCGTTTCCACCGAAAATCGGAAGTTTTGATTCAGTTTTGAAACACAATTTCGAAGTTTATGCGACTTTGTTTTATCGCGATTCTCAAATTATAGCCCAGACCCCAGTCTTACTACTTTTACACTACAAAATATATCATTATTTTGCACACTAAAGAAATGTAGGACTCTTTTTTAGAATATTGAAACCCTCTACTATAACTAACTAACTAAATTGATACAATTGGGCTCAAATGCCATTGCTCTGTTATTGAGAAATCGATATTTTTCAGTGCTAGATCTAAATTGTCAAATTTTTTTTTTTCTCCCAAAAATCACAATTTTTTGTGAAATTACACAAAAAGTACCACTCAAGACATGTGTAGGTTTATTCCAAATGCAATACTTGTGGGGGTTTTTTCTGTTTGTGAATACATCTTGTCCATTTTTCAAGATTATAATTTTTTTTTTTTTTTTCAAAATCGGATGTCATGATCCAAAAGTGCAAATTTTATGGAATGTATGTAAATAACTGCAAATTTTTCAATATTTTCCAGTTCTATATTCATTTATGGTTATTTTGATGTATCATTTGACAAGGTGCAAACATATTTTTTGCGTTCAACCGAAGATGATTGATTTTTTATTTTCAAATTTTATCTGCATATAAGCAAAATTGTGTAGCATAATCGCCTCTTACAGGAACCAAAGTTGAAAAATTCACAAATAAACTTTACAGATGTATTCTACAAATCATACTGAAAATTTTGGTACATAATATGTTAATATTTATTTGAATTTGTGGCCCCAAAGACCTTTGAACTGCGCACTAGTCATCATCTCATTTCGCCTTCCCAAAAAAAATTCTTCCACCAGCCGAAAATCATACGTAGTGAATGAGTTAATTCTATTATTTTTACCTCAGGATTTTCATTGTTCTGTCTGTTGCTGACTTTTGCCATTATTGTTCTTATTGTAGAAGATTGTTATTTTTGTTTCTGTAAAACTGGTTATGGCACATGAAATCGAGTGGTATGATAACATTTTATTTGTGTCTCTGGTGTGCATTTTAATGCGAAAGTAAGGCAGTCCTGTCATTGTATTTAGGACAGGCTCTACCTTATGTAACACAATGAAACAAACTTTGCTTTCATGTGGTTTTATTTCCGTCTTAAAATCTTGCTTTTTGAAAAGCCTTTTTAAAACTCAGTCCCCTCCACCAACTACTTTCTGATGCATACTTCTTTCATTGACTGTTGTTTAATAAGCCTTTATTTTTTTTCTAATTTCTCCCTTTGCATGAATTTTATCCTCAGTGAAAACTTTTATGGACAGTTTATAATGCAATAAATTCATATGGAGGAAAATTAGGTGTTTATGACTACGTATATGATTATTGTTTCAGGTAAAATAAAAGAGATGGAGTCCCTTTCCAAACACAAACTACCCCACAACAGGTAAGTTTGTATAAAATTCTTTAAGAATAATAATAATTGTGCTGATGACACCATTGATTGTATAGATCAGGGGTTTGCTACAATTTTCATTGGCGGGCACTTTTCTACATAAGAACAATTAGTGCCAGTCACCATAAAAAATGTTTGATCCAATGGCAACTAAAGTATTGAGTTCTGAATAAACTGAATACATAATTAAAAATTTCATTCAACCCTTTTGTTGCTAGGGGGTATGCATTCCTACCGTCGGCACTGATTTTTGGCTGAGCTCGTTTCATTCCCAAGACAGCAGCCTAATGTCTCAGTGTTAATGGCCGCGCAGTCTAGATCTAGATCTAGCACACTCATGACATATTTCGGACACTGGGTCTTCGATTATTACTTTTCTCCTTTTTCTTATTCCCTGTTCCCTCCCATTTTACTCATAATTTCGAATATCCTGCAAATCTGAGTCAAAAAATGGATTTGTTTTACTTTTTAAAGTCATTTCGATGTTTACATTTTACGAGAGCACGTGGCCGCCAGCAAGTCTAGGTCTGTGTTTATCGATCGCTTGCAAGCCTCGCAGTAAAGTAATACTAGCAAATTTGGTACCGATGCACCCGCCTTTTATTCCTAAATACGAATCTATGCAGCGCTTGAGGCTAAAATTCCGTTCAGAAGAATTACAGCCAGGTTATTAGCACGACGTACATGTTACGTCATATAGGCAACCAGGAGCGGCAAACTTTACCAACTCCCGTGACATACATGATACGGCTCAGCGCTAAAAATTACACATTTTCGTAACATACCAGGTACGTCATACGACAACGAAGGGGTTAAATGTATTTTTCATAATTTGTGTTTATTATAATTTTATGTATATGAGCAATTGCCAAAACGTGAGACTTCCTTGAGACTCAGTGGTACAAAAAAAATGTTCTTACCAATTTGACTCCCTTTTCTGTCAGTCACAGATTGACATTTAGAGCTCATATTCCTAGAGTATCAGAGCAAGGAGATGTAGGGTTTTGGAGATATGGGTCTATTAGTTTGGCAACCACTGTATTTCTTGTATGTAACAGTGATGACAAAAACAGATAAGCAGCAAGGCAAATTATGGACTTTAAATTCCATTTGTTTAGTAAACAAAGACTTTGTACACTATGAACTCCATTCATAATGGTAATATAAATGACAAGCTTTGTGACAATGACACAGTGCACAGAACATGTCATCATTGTTATGTACAAGAAAGGACACACATTGGACATTATCATTGACAACACATCACAATAGTGAAAGGCTGTACAAATACAGTTATTAAAGCCTTAGTACCAGAAAAAGTCATGTGTAAAACAATTTTTAAACTAATATGAGGCAAAAGCCCAAAATCATAATAACATTAGATTTGTATAAAGATATGCCAGAAAACTAGTGTTGTTCCTCACACATTTGGTCTCTGTCCACAGACTTCTTTCAATGGTCTTGAGCACTCAGAGGAAACTAGGAGGAAAGTCCTACCCAAAGATGATCACAAGTTAGCAGTTAGTTTGCCCTGTTTTTGATAGATAATATGGTTGGAAGTTTGTCACTTAAAAGAATGCTCTTTATGGAATGTGAAACATTAGTATTCTGTACACTTACAAAAATGACCAATGGCAAGGCTTGTCTTGTTTGATAATGTTACATTTTATTTCATTATGAAAAGGAAAATTATTAGCAATGTTTTGTCTCTCAGAAATTAGTTATTTTATTTTTTGGTGAGAAAGATGTTGGTCAAGTAAACAACAAATAAGTTGCAATTTTCTAAGACGAATCCATGGAATTTTACATAGTTGTAGATAATACTTGTATATTGTCAGCAAGCTGTTAAAATGTACTAAGCCCAGAAAGCATAATTTTATTTGAGAGAGAAATGACTTGTTTCATTCTTTTAACAGTTGTACCTACGTCATGTATCTTTATCTTTTTTTTTTTTCATTGTTTAGAATTTGAATTTCAACAGAATATTTCATGAACACTTGCAACTGATATCAGATTGAGAAACTGCAATAGAAGGAAAAAATGAGAAAAAATTTTAGTTCGATACGTTTTAACAGCTGGCCGACGATACATTCGAGACATAATCATCAATCCTTGAGGTAAATTTTTAATTATGATTCACCTCCTATGAAAATAAGTTTATGTTGCTGAGAAAGATCAAAGTGAAGATTTCTGTCCTTGATTTGAACATATTCTTTTGTTTATCTGAACACAATCATGCGCTGTATATATCAATTTAAACCCAGACTAGATTGTATGAGATCACCTGAAGGTTTTATCATGGCTTGTCTTGATACTTTACTTTATTTAGTGCAATGACAGATATGTTTTGGATTTTGCTGCACTAGAGACCATGTTTTTATGGCCTTTTGCATCTTGGAAGATAATTGTAAAGCAGCATAGCTGCCAACCAGTGCATAAGAAACATTTAGTAAGTTTTGAGGGGTCTGAGTCTGTAAATATGTTTTTGTGTCAGAAATGTGTATTCTATTTTCGAGTATTTCTCCTCAAGGGTTTGCCGATGCTGAAGAAAAATTATGAACTTTCAAAACAGGATTTGAGAATAATAATGAGACCTAAGCCCAGAAGTCAGTTGGAGAGATGTTTACTAAACATTTCTGATATTATTGTGGCTAGTCTGCTTGAAAAAGTTTGAGTTCAATGCACCACAGAAAAGTGTCCTCAGAAAAGTGTGTGAGAAGGGCTTTGGTTCCTTGTCCAATGCCTACCATCTTGACCCACAATGCATAAAGAGTCGGAAGGGGGGGGGGGGGGATTTTGAAAGTTGGCAGTCATGAAGTAGTATGCATGATATAGCTTTGCCTGGGTTGTAGACAAAGAGGAAGTTGATTGCCAAGTACTGCCTCCCTCCCTTCAGCTCTTGACTTCCTTGATATGCTCTAAGGGAGAGACATTGTCAATACTTTTGAAATCAAGGAAATTTTATGGGTTTGTCTTACTATTTTTCCAGGTGTGACAGGGATTTTTATTTTTAACTGTTCTTTTTTCTGATAAATTAAATGGTAGGAAATTTGGAATTTTGCCATGTAGGGAACAAATAAAGATTTCAAGTACAAGGTCCATTTAGCTAATAATCAAGTTTATGTAGAGTTGCACATAAAGGTCAGGGCTATTAGTGTACATTTTGTTCAACTGAAACTGGTTTTCAGTTCTTGTTTCCCAAAGAAGTGATCGAGTGAGTGTATGATGTTCAATGAAATGGTGCTCAAATGCTTTTTGTCTTGAGTGGAGTGTGCTGTGCAAATGTTTTGAAGTGTGTATGGCCACGAGACTGCCTCTGAATGGAACCTGTATACTAGTTATTCCTGATTGTGTGCTCATACTGCAGCTATGTTGAATGATGGTGAGTGGTTATGCGCGTCCTTGTCCTAGCGTTGTTTGTATGGATGGGAATGCAGTATTATTTCTCCTGGAAGTTTTTGTTTTTTTGTTTTGTCTTTTCAGCACACTCTTTTCTTTAGAGCAACAGAAGTGTTAAAAGTCTCTAGTTTTTGTGTCCAGTTTTGTCCTGAAAGTTCCCAGTCTTTTTCAGGATGTGCTCATTAGTCTCAGATCTGACTGGAGTTCTTGTTGGTTCTGATTTTGCTTATGAATTCAAAGTAAAATGTGAAAACATTTACTTAAGTAAGAGTTATTCAAAGTAAAAAAAATGTTAGAATATTTTAAGTATAAGTTCTTTGACCAGTAACCACTACTGGGAAGTTCTTCTTCTTTACTCTATCTTTTCTTTCTTTTCTCTGTCCTAAATGACTGACTCAGGCGAAAGAATTATTTGTATAATGGTTACATGTGGAGTCTGATTAAAAGAGTGTCAAATTATCTGACTGGCCTTGTTTTGTTCCTTTAGTGTGGTGCAATTTTATTGTCTTTTACCGGTGCATTCATGTAGTTAATTTTCACCCCTGGACGGTTCATTCACATAAACAAATGGCTTAATAATTGGGTAGGATTATAGAGCACCTATTTGCTCTGTATCAGCTAAAGGGTTTGCGTTTTCCACCCAGTGGGCCTATGTGGCTGGGCCCAGGGTTCTAATAGCGCAGCCCTGGCAGTGTCGGCGATTAGCGATCGGAGAAAATCCGGATTAGCATTGCAAAAGGACTCATTGTATGGTCCATGATCCCTAACGTCATAGACCATTGATTTTCTCAGTGTGTGGTCAGCAAGGGTCGTTTCGATATTTCTTGAAAGCTTGCGTCACTGACAAATCTGAGCTGAGCTGAAAAGGTGCGCTGGGATCATTCGTGTCTCGACTCACCTTGAGAACTTCTGTCTCTACGGATATGCTGGGGTGAGGGTTAACGCCCTTTCCAAGAAGCAAGCTTATCTTCATTAAAGTGGGCCTTCTTTTCGTATACATTTGTAGTATTAGTTTTTCGGCACTTGCAACACAATTACGTCGCATAAATGCCTCAGAATAAAGGTGTTATAAGAGTGTAATAACCCCCCCCCTCTCTCTCTCTCTCTCACACACACACACACACACACACACACACACACACACACCCCCCCCCCCCCACGCACACACAAAAAAAAGAAGAAAAAAGGAGAGATAAGAACGATAGTCGTTTGATTGGAAAGAAGGAGAAACCACACCTGAGCTCCCGCCAAACACCCACAGCAGGGCTTCTGGTTGTAGCGTCCGGAAAGAAAAGTTGGCGATTCCCTCTTCCCATTCCCATTTAAGTTCAAGATTGCCACGTAGTAGATTAAGTCTCAACCCAGCTTTAAACTGAGTTAACGCTTCGCCCGAATTAAGAAGGGGTGGCACTCCCAACTCCAAGTTTTCTGCAAAACATCGGAGCGGTGAACTATTCGTTGAGAGCTTAACTACAGAACCCTTTGACCTTTAAAAGTATAGATGTACCCAAATGTATCCATTCCTAAATCCCGCTCATTTTTACTTGTGTCCTCATCCAACTCTCCCCCCCCCTCTCTCTAATCCCCCCTCTCTCTCTCTCTCTCTCTCTCTCTCTCTCTCTCTCTCTCTCTCTCTCTCTCTCTCTCTCTCTCTCTCTCTCTCACTCACGCTCTCTCTTTATCTCACTCTCTCTCTCTCTCTCTCTCTATCTCACTCTCTCTCTCTCTCTCTCTCTCCCTCTCTCTCTCACACACTCACACACACACACACACACTCACACTTACACACACACATACACACAAACACACACGCGGCGCGCTCACGCACGCACTCACGATCAATAGATCGTAAGCCCTAAATCAAATCAGCATATCTAATCACGCGAAGTGACTCTCCTTTTTTGTGTAATTCCTCATTCTTTTTCTTTGCCCGATTGTCTTTCGGTACACGCACACTCGTGTACGTTTCTTGTTGGGTCGTATGTAGACAGTAAGTATCACAGAGGTGTTTTTATTACAGTAGTATTATGTATTGATCTCTTCCAGCCGGGAGGAACCGCAGCTAACGTCCCCTGTCAGCAAAACAAGGGCATAACCTAAACATCAAAGTTATTTAGTCACACTCAACAGCATCGCAGGACAAAGCCTGCTCTGACAGATCAGTATCGGCTCTTGTGAAAAAGCCAAATACATAATTAATCTTGATAGCCTTGGGACCTCCCAGCCCTTCTATACTGGGCACACTGCCGTAGCGTGACGGGTGTTGTAAGAACCTTTGGCTCTGTGTAATCCTTGCGGAGTCATGGTCTCCTAATCTCTGACCAGTGTATAGCTGGAACCAGAATTGGAGACGTTCAATTATTAGGCCTACTATAATAAAATGCTGCAAGAAAAAGTGGGTATATGTTCCGAGCGCTCGTGTTAAAGTAATGGTGCCTATTTTGGCAGCTGTGTTCCCTTTGCAGCAATCATTTAGTATTCACTGGATTCAAACGGAGGACGTTGTTATTTAAGAAAAGCATTTCAGACTTAAAGAACGCTATAATTTTGAGCAGAACGAGCTATTATGCAAGTCATACTCTCCGTCATAACAATGCCAGTTAGGTATTTTTTCTTTGATTTTTACAAACTGTCTGAACAACAATCTTGTGATAATTTCTGCGAAACAACATTCTTAGTGCCATTGTAAAGTGATTTCAGGTTAAAACTCGAGTGATTTGAATATATATATATGCTGGACCATCGCTGCTTCACAAGTATAGCTGTATTTCAACTGCATCTTGAGATGAGAAACACTAATTCTTAAAGTCTCTGAGAACGTAAGAATAGATCTTAACTGTTTGCAGTATCTAACGTATTCTGACGGCTTCAGCGGCACAGCTCACGTGTCTTGATCCAAAAAGTACGTAGCTAAGTCTGAATGAAGATAAAGCGGACATTTAACTGGCGAAAGATGGCTTCGGCGAACAGACAAGACAAAGCTGGGCAGCAGCATGACCTTAAAGGTCAGAGGTGGATGAATCGTTGAAGTTTTATCTTGATTCTATTGAGAGGATTACTACCATTTAAGTCAAGGTAGGGTAGTACGAATTTCATACGTGATGGGAAACAATTTGGACTTAGAAAGAAAGGGCACGGTGGTGATCCTACTGAACCGTAAGAAAGAGCCGTTTTGGGTAGGAACTGTTGCCTATCTCAAACGGCCAGTGATCTACTTCTGCTTCGGCCTCCCTTTGCTGGCCCCGTCTGTCATGCTCATTATACTCGGAAGTCTGGAGGACGACGTGAGCCGCACCTTCCTAGCTCTGGGATGGACAATGTTTGTGCTAGCACTGCTCTGCTTTGCTGTGGGAGCTTACTTGGGACTGTCAGGACTTCACAGAACTCGGAAGTACAAGGCTCAAAAGGATTTACTAGACGAGTCCAAAGGCAGCATCCCGAGTGACAGTGAGACTGCCTCGTGCAACACGCCCTCTACCATGATGTCAACATTGTCTTTAAGCACTCCCAGCGACCCCGCCAGCTCCCAGTCCTCTCGGCGGTCCAGCATGTCTAGAAGCAGTGTAAACACGTCAACGACCTCACTAAAAAGCAACACGTCGTCCTCCTCATCGAACATGTCCGTACTCTCAACGAACGACAAGTCGAAGCTGGTCGGTCTCAAGAAGAAAGCCATGCGACAAAAACGAGGAGTAAAATTCCCGACGGACCGACTGCCGTCGCTTCAGGAAGAGGACACTTTGGTGAAAAGTATTTCAAGGGGCAACTCGCAGGCAGAGTTCGCGCTACACAACAATGCCCCTTCGTCAAGTACTGGAAAACGAGCTCCTGCCAATGGCAAGCCCAATATGGAGGAGCTGAAAGGCTATCTAAACACTATCGGCCTCGGGGGCCCTCGACCGGGACATCCGACAGCGCAAGCAACTACGGGAATCCATCGAATCTCGAAGTCGTTTGGCGAAAATGACCTGCCTAGGCCAAACCATGGTTTAGAATTACATCATCCATATACTTCCAGGTTTGTTCATTTGGCATGGTGAAAGTTTTGGTTCCAGGTGTTAGTTTGAGTTCTATTGTTTCTACCTAGTGTTGGTTGTTTAGAAGCTGGAAGTAGACTTTTACGGGATTTAATGTGACTGACAGTTGACCTTTAAAATATAATTGAAAGAAAGTTTGAGAGAATGTGGGCGAAATGCCTCCTGCGACATAAACATGTTATGGAAGAGGTTAGACAACCGATTTGGCGTTTATCTTTGGATTGAGCCAAGTGGGTGGAGATCTTTAGATTTAAAAAAAAAGATAGCACTACGCACTTATGGATGTTTTGTGATTCGAACCAGGGTCACCCTAACTGAAGTTGAACATGCAATCTACTGTGTTAATGACATGCCCTAAAAACAATATTGCACAGCAACTGGCGGTCGTGGGTTGACCTGCTGGACGGGTTCTTCGCTACTGCACGCACAAGACGCAAATTGCATTCTCGTATTGAGTATATCCATCTGTCCTCCAGGTTTTATGTCCCTTTCGACCTTGATCGACCCTCACAGGCAAAATCGAAGCAGCCTGCCCCCCCCCCCCCCCC